TTCAAGGGGTTGACTACGATGAGACTTTCTCACCGGTAGCGAAGCTGAAGTCCGTCCGAATCATGTTAGCAATTGCCGCATTCTATGATTACGAAATATGGCAAATGGACGTCAGAACGGCATTCCTTAATGGTTTTCTTAAGGAAGAATTGTATATGATACAACCGGAAGGTTTTGTCGATCCTAAGAATGCTGACAAAGTGTGCAAGCTCCAACGCTCGATTTATGGGCTGGTGCAAGCATCTCAGAATTGGAACATTCGCTTTGATGAGATGATCAAAGCGTTTGGGTTTACACAGACTTATGGAGAAGCCTGCGTTTACAAGAAAGTGAGTGGGAGCTCTGTAGCATTTCTCATATTATATGTAGATGACATACTTTTGATGGGAAATGATATAGAACTCTTGGACAGCATCAAGGCCTACTTGAATAAAAGTTTTTCAATGAAGGACCTTGGAGAAGCTGCTTATATATTAGGCATCAAAATCTATAGAGATAGATCAAGACGCCTCATAGGTATTTCACAAAGCACATACCTTGATAAGATATTGAAGAAGTTCAATATGGATCAATCCAAGAAGGGGTTCTTGCCTGTGTTACAAGGTATGAAATTGAGCTCAGCTCAATGTCCGACCACGGCAGAAGATATAGAAGAGATGAGCGTCATCCCCTATGCCTCAGCCATAGGTTCTATTATGTATGCCATGCTGTGTACCAGACCTGATGTTAACCTTGCCGTCAGTTTGGTAGAAAGGTACCAAAGTAATCCCGGCAAGGAACACTGGACAGCGGTCAAGAATATCCTGAAGTACCTGAAAAGGACTAAGGAAATGTTTCTCGTTTATGGAGGTGACGAAGAGCTCGTCGTAAAGGGTTACGTCGACGCTAGCTTTGACACAGATTTGGATGACTCTAAGTCACAAACCGGATACGTGTATATTTTGAATGGTGGGGCAGTAAGCTGGTGCGGTTGCAAGCAAAGCGTCATGGCGGGATCTACATGTGAAGCGGAGTACATGGCAGCCTCGGAGGCAGCACATGAAGCAATATGGGTGAAGGAGTTCATCACCGACCTAGGAGTCATACCCAATACGTCAGGGCCGATCAAGCTCTTCTGTGACAACACTGGCGCTATTGCACTTGCCAAGGAGCCCAGGTTTCACAAGAAGACAAGGCACATCAAGCGTCGCTTCAACTCCATTCGTGAAAATGTTCAAGATGGAGACATAGAGATTTGTAAAGTACATACGGACCTGAATGTAGCAGATCCATTGACTAAACCTCTCCCTAGAGCAAAACATGATCAACACCAGAATTCCATGGGTGTTCGATTCATCACAATGTAACTAGATTATTGACTCTAGTGCAAGTGGGAGACTGTTGGAAATATGCCCTAGAGGCAATAATAAAAGCATTATTATTATATTTTCTTGTTCATGATAATTGTCTTTATTCATGCTATAATTGTGTTATCCGGAAATCGTAATACATGTGTGAATAACAGACACCGACATGTCCCTAGTGAGCCTCTAGTTGACTAGCTCGTTGATCAACAGATAGTCATGGTTTCCTGACTATGGACACTGGATGTCATTGATAACGAGATCACATCATTAGGAGAATGATGTGATGGACAAGACCCAATCCTAAACATAGCACAAGATCGTATAGTTCGTTTGCTAGAGTTTTCCAATGTCAAGTATCTTTTCCTTAGACCATGAGATCGTGTAACTCCCGGATACCGTAGGAGTGCTTTGGGTATGCCAAACGTCACAACGTAACTGGGTGACTATAAAGGTAGACTACGGGTATCTCCGAAAGTGTCTGTTGGGTGACATGGATCAAGACTGGGATTTGTCACTCCGTATGACGGAGAGGTATCACTGGGCCCACTCGGTAATGCATCATCATAATGAGCTCAGAGTGACCAAGTGTCTGGTCACGGGATCATGCATTACGGTACGAGTAAAGTGACTTGCCGGTAACGAGATTGAACAAGGTATTGGGATACCGACGATCGAATCTCGGGCAAGTAACATATCGATAGACAAAGGGAATAGCGTACGGGGTTGATAGAATCCTCGACATCGTGGTTCATCCGATGAGATCATCGTGGAGCATGTGGGAGCCAACATGGGTATCCAGATCCCGCTGTTGGTTATTGACCGAAGAGTCGTCTCGGTCATGTCTGCTTGTCTCCCGAACCCGTAGGGTCTACACACTTAAGGTTCAGTTACGCTAGGGTTGTAGGGATATGTATATGTAGTAACCCGAATGTTGTTCGGAGTCCCGGATGAGATCCCGGACGTCACGAGGAGTTCCGGAATGGTCCGGAGGTAAAGATTTATATATGGGAAGTCCTGTTTCGGGCATCGGGACAAGTTTCGGGGTTATCGGTATTGTACCGGTACCACCGGAAGGGTCCCGGGGGTCCACCGGGTGGGTCCACCTGTCCCGGGGGGCCACATGGGCTGTAAGGGGGTGCGCCTTGGCCTAATGGGCCAAGGGCACCAGCCCCACATAGGCCCATGCGCCTAGGGTTTGAAAGGGGAAGAGTCCTAGGAGGGGAAGGCACCTCCTAGGTGCCTTGGGGGGGAGGGAAACCTCCCCTTGGCCGCCGGCCATAGGAGATTGGATCTCCTAGGCTGCGCACCACCCCCCCTTGGCCCTCCTATATATAGTGGGGGAGAGGAGGGACTTCATACCTGAACGCCTTGGCCTTTGGTTGCCTCCTTCTCCCTCCCCAACACCTCCTCCACCTCCATAGTGCTTAGCGAAGCTCTGCCGGAGTACTGCAGCTCCATCAACACCATGCCGTCGTGCTGCTGCTGGTGCCATCTTCCTCAACCTCTCCTCCCTCCCTTGCTGGATCAAGAAGGAGGAGACGTGGCTGTTCCGTACGTGTGTTGAACGCGGAGGTGCCGTCCGTTCGGCGCTGGTCATCGGTGATTTGGATCACGTCGAGTACGACTACATCATCACCGTTCTTTTGAACGCTTCCGCTCGCGATCTACAAAGGTATGTAGATGCATCTAATCACTCGTTGCTAGATGAACTCCTAGATGATCTTGGTGAAACGAGTAGGAAAATTTTTGTTTTCTGCAACGTTCCCCAACACATACATGGTATTTTTACGGTGAAATCAGCTTACGAACTAGCTTTTGACGAGGCGCACCGGAGTTCTGCGGTGGCGTCCAGCTCTGTGCCTTCGGGAAGTCGGGCGTGCTGGGACTTCATATGGAAGTGTGATGCCCCTCCAACGGTGAAACACTTTGCATGGCGATTGTCCAATGATGCATTACCCACATGGTAGAGGAAACACCGTATTGGATTGGAAACCATGAGTATGTGTCCGGTATGTGGAGTAGAAGAGGAGGATAACTTTCACCCGTTCGTGTGCTGTCAGTTTGGACGTGATCTGTTTGTGGCCATGGCAAAGGTGTGGAAGCTCCCGAATATCACATCAATACTTAATAACGGGAAAGAATGGCCGCTACACGTCCTGGGATCTCTTTCTAGCCTGGAACGAACAATGATACTAATGATTTTCTGGAGGTGCTGGTTTGTCCGAAACGAACTTGTTCATGCTAAGCCTGCCCCGCCTATGGAAGTCTCTCTAAGATTTCTTCAAAGCTATCTAGTTTCCTTGATTGGTATCAAACAAAATCCACAGGCTGACCCAGCCAAAGGCAAATCCTATATTGAATGGAAGGATACAGCGAGAAGGGGGAGATGCGCTGGTATTCAGGTCGAACGGAAGTGGACTACGCCGGAGTCGGGCTGGTCCAAATTGAATACCGACGGTTCCTTTGTTACGTCAGAACAGGCGGGTGCATGCATGATTCTACGTGATCATCAAGGAGCTATTAACTTCTCGTCCTGCAGGGTGTTGTTTTCATGCAAAGACTCCCTTGAGGCGGAGTTGTGTGCGTGTATGGAAGGCCTGTCTCTTGCCTTGCAGCGAAGCGTTTTGCCGATCGTGGTGGAGATGGATTCTATCGAAGCTTGCTCCCTCTTATCAAGCTCGGATACAGATCGTTCGGTTTATTCCTCTATTGTTAGAGAGATTAAGCACCTCATGGGTTTAAGAAAAACTTGTATTTCTCATATAGTTAGATCTCAAAATAAAGCTAGTGATTGCTTAGCTAAGTTTGCTAGAATCGAAGGCAGGACCATGACTTGGTTAGGAGCTGGTCCAGTTGAAGTATTGGAAATAGCAGCGTCTGATTGTAATGACATTGTGATTGAGTAATGAAATGCTATTTCTCCCGTAAAAAAAGAATTGTGAGTAGAAAAAGCGTGAATAATAACTTTTGTATAGTTTGGATTTTGTTTTTGACTTTTTGTTGTCGTCCAAAATACCATGGAAGTCATTCGTTCGCTAACCTTTTCACACACCTGCTCATGCTTGATTAGAAAGGAAAATTAAAATTTAAAAATTATTATTATTCAATTTGGGTGCATCGGCACCAAGACCCAAAGATTCACGTCTGTATGTATATGTACTATCTTCTCCCCCTTGACCCCTTTCAATCTTCCCCGTGGTGGATTATGATCATGCATGGTACTGTCGTCGGTCGGGGCCCCGGTAGAACGAGTCAACCTGACAGCGATCCTCCGACCCAGTAAAACTATCCCGAGTCAACCAGAGTGACACTGACGGATCAACACGTGTGCTCACCGGCTATTCTCAACAGACCTGTAAAGGCGACGCACTAATGGCGTTCTTAACAACCTAGGACGGCCCCGACGTGGCGGCTCGCCGTTCGACCACCGGCGAACAAAGATCATCTGAACTTTTGGCTCTCTCGTGCTCCCCAGCTAAGCTAATCCCTAGCCAAGGAAGCAACCCGGAGAGAGAGACGCGTCCCAGAAATTCTTTCCAGTTTCTCGCCGCCATTGGCATGCACCACCGGCCTCCCCTGTGCTTTTAAACCCTCGCCGTGATCCGACTAGCATCATCACACGACACAATTACGCCATTGTTGTGTGCGGAGCGGATGGAGGAGGAGCGGGAGGAGGCGGGCGTGGCGCTGACGGGGAGGCGGGCGCGGGCGGACACGAGGCACCCGGTGTACCGGGGCATCCGGCTCAGGGGCGGCAAGTGGGTGTCGGAGATCCGGGAGCCGGGCAAGGCCAGCAGGATCTGGCTGGGCACGTACCGGACGCCCGAGATGGCCGCCGCCGCGTACGACGCCGCCGCATTGGCGCTGCGGGGGGCCCGGGCCGCCGGCCCCGCGCTCAACTTCCCCGGCGAGGCGCTGTCGCGGCCCGCGCCGGCGTCGTGCGCGCCGGACGACATACGGGCGGCCGCGGCCGCAGCCGCGGCGATGGTTGTCGATGCCGGCAGCTCTCCTCGGACGGAGGCTGATGGCGGCCGCTCCGGGTCCGGGAGCTGCGGCGCGGGTGAACAGGGCCCCGTCGTGGACGAGGACGACGTCTTCGAGATGCCGCGGCTGCTGGCGAGCATGGCGGAGGGGCTGATGATGAGCCCGCCGAGGCTGGGCGCGGCGACGGCGGTGGACGACGACCACGATGGCGGCATGAGCTTGTGGGAACACTCTTGAGTTTCTCTTCTTTCTCCTGTGGGTGTAGCTGGTCTGTTGCACTTGCACTAGTACGAAACTTGAACGAGCAGACACAGCACACAAGTACAGAGCTGCGCGAACTTTGCGGCTCCCCTTATCGATACGTGGCAAGTTGATCTCGTCATATTGGTCATCCGTCCAGTCAAAGATAAAATATCATCAGTGAGGAGTATATACACAAAACTAACAAGGGAAAGCACAAACCGTTTGGTTTGTTAACTTTTCACCATCTCTCTAGATTACAACCTTGTCCAAAAATGAAAAGTTTACAGCCTGCTCACTAATACATTACTCCCTCCTATCCAAATTAATTGGCACTGCTTTAGTACAACTTTAGGGAGTAAGTGCTTTTGTTTGGGTTGAGCCGGTTTCAGTTCCCCTCTAATTTTGTTCTTTGTTCTTTTCCGCCACAAGCAGTCGCTGCTCTTTTTGTTCTTTGTTGCAACTTGCAAACCATTCCCAAGAGACACTGAAATTTTGCGTAAATAAATTGAGAGGATAACCCAACAATCAAATGGGAAATAAGTTACTGTCCCTATGTACTCCACAAAATGTTTTACCAATAGAACAAAATCAAAGTGATTGATAGAACAACAAACTATAAAGAACAAATTCAAACAATTCAAGAAACATCCCATGAATGGTTTTACAAAAAATTAGAAATAGGAAAGTGAACATCAGTACCATGAGATATAAAAAGGTGTGAATAAATAAAATAAATTGACAAAAAAATCTAGAGCAAAAGGGAAAAGGAAAAAGTACATGAAAACAAATATTTTCCTCATTAAGTATTACCGACCAACAGATAGCGGTAGCGACAACAACAAAGTAATCAACATTTGTGAAGCTACGCACGTGCGCGTCTGAAGACCAGCTTGTGTGGTAGGGAAGACCATCACATTTCCATCCTAAAGTGATCTCATAAAGTTCCAAGTCCCTGGAAGAGTTTCCCACTTTTGCCATCTGTATATAAATGAGGTTCAGAAGTTTCTCGAAAAAAAAAAGGTTCAGAAGCAAACTGCTCCATGGTTCACATTAGAAGATGAAAAAAATTCACAAGTTGAAGAAGATGACAAGAAAGAATAACTTTAGATAACTACTTGGTCTATAGGACTCCTGGGCATTGCTCAAACAGGCCTTAGGAACGACATGGCTAATCGGCCCCCTCCCGTGCGTCGGCTAGTGGTAATGTGATGGGCTGGCTGCTGCTACAAGTTAACGGGTTAAAAAACAATTGTTCACCGTGCGTTAAAAAATGTTCATGAAATGTAAACCTTGCTCGTGTGATTTTCAATGGCCATATCATTAAAAAAATTCACACCTTTATAAATATATTCCTGCCATTTTTGAAAAATATTTATGTAAATCTAAAAAATCGTTTGGGTGATTTGTAAAAACAATGTTCATACCATTCAAAAAATTGTTGATGATTCTAAAAATATTTTTCATACTAATATTTTAATAACATCCAGGAAATGTAGAAAATCGTTTGCACACATTTCGAAAAATCTCTATAACATATAAAAATTCTTGGTGTCATTTAGGAAAAATAGTCTATTACTTATGAAATATTTGCACATTTTTAAAATTATTTTAAATGTGTGTTTCAAAATGTTTATTGTGTACTAAAAAAATGTTTAATGTGCATTTTACAAGTCTTCAACATCTATTCAGATAAATGTTCAACACTTTACTTAAAACATCCACAACATGTATCTAATTAATGTTCAACTTATATATGTAAAATGCTCAACGTGCATTTTCAAAAAAGCCACTTGTATTTGAGAAAAGACAAAAAAACTAGAAGTAAAAAAAAGAAGGGAACAAAAAAACGCGTAGAATGTTCTAAAACCAATCTATACCCCGCTTGAGGCGATGCTTTCTTTCATCTCACAGTAAGCGAGACGTAGTGCACACGAGCTATGGCCAGCTCCGAGCATCTCAACAAACCTGGTTCTTCGACATGTCCATGATCACAAGTTTTCGACAGGCACAGGGAGCGCAGGAAACATAACAGTTGGAAAGCCAGGTAAACAACGAAAAGTGCAAGCAACGACCGAGCTCTATGGAACTCTTTTAATTATGTTTCAGCAAAAAATAATTTTTCCACACCTCAAAAAATCTAAAAGAAAGTATACACATAGGTATATATTTGTAATATTGACGTACAAAATTCAATGTTTTAAATAGCGGGCTATGAAAAATAGCGGCGGGCCTCCAAAAACAGCTATAGCGTTGTGAAGACGACCATTTAGGGGCATCCTGCTGAAAAGGCTATGCTATTTAAAACATTGACAAAATTTCATATGTGATGTACACAAAAAAGACAAATACATAGAATATAGCCGGCTTTTTCTCTTTTTGGGCCAGATATTTGTTATTGTCGTTGTGTAGCTTGCAAATAATTTAATTAATTAACGACACTTTATACATAGTTGAAGAACATGCATATGTATTTATTAAAAAAAACTAGAATTTTTCGGAACTTCTAAATTTATCTTTGATTCTTTTAAAGAATCCTTTGCGACGCCGCTCTCGGTAAACAAAACCTTTTGGTTTCCCTAAAGAGCCAGTGATCAAACTGGCAGGAAGAAACCAGCAGGTGCGTTGGACCCTCGGCTAGTTCGAGAGGACAGAGCCCATTATATCTGGCCATGGGCCAGGCCGGGCCGGGCTTGGGCCAGGCCTAAAAAAGCCCACAGCAAAAAACTGAGGCACAGGCCCTCCCAGGCCCTACCATTGGGCCTACTTTTCAAGTCCAAGCCCAGCCCATCTGGTAAAAAGCCCTGAAAAGCCCTTAGGGCTTAGGGCCGTGGGCCGGACCTCTTCCTTAAAATGCCAATATGCCAAGCCCAAGCCCATCCAGGCCCTACTGGTGGGCTCAAAACTCAGGCCCAAGCCCGGCCCATGGGCAAGCCCATCGGGCCTAGGCCCTGGATTTTAGGGCTGGGCCTGGGTGGACCGACAGGGCCGGGCCTGAGATGGCCAGGACTAGAGCCCATTGACACGCCACACCTGTACCTATACTCTGCTCTGTGTCTCAAAAAAAAAACCTATACTTTGCTCTGTTCACTTCACTAGGTTGGACCTTCGGCGGAGCAGCTGGCACTGGCCGAGAGTCAGATCACGTACGGTACGACGGAGCAGCTGGCATCGGCACGCGACGGGCGCGTGATGCGCGCGCGCACCATCACGTACGAACCAGCGAACGTGCCGCGCTCCCTGGCGTCAAGATGAAGGCGGCGCAGTTAACCACCCTGCCTCCCGCGGCGTGGCCGTACGGGCACCCGGACCCGGCAGGGCCTGATGCAGGCAGCAGTTTGCACCTCTTTCTGCCCCATCTCATCTCTCGTGTCGCCACGCCCGCCGCCGCGTGTAGTGTAGATCCAGCCAGCGCGCCACGCCGATGTATGCCACAGTGCCAGCACGGTACGTCTGCAGGCAAGGCACGCATAATCAACCGATCAACGAGTTGACCTTGGAGCTACAGTAAGCTTGATTACTCAATTCGTTCCCACATCTGACAGGGATGATCAAGCAGGCGAAGGGGTGTCTGACTCGACGATTAAATGGCACAGCTGGAGCCAGCTTGAAGCTTCCACTATGCTGCTCCAATGCACGCACCAGTACTGCAATTCATCAGTATGGTATAATATTTGTGTCAACACAAGTACTCCTACATACTCACTTGCAGTATTTATTATGTACTCCATGATCACGAGACTACCGGTGTAATCCCCTGCCATACAGGTGTGCAATCCGTACGTGCAGTCGTATACACTGCAATATATTTTACACGTCTCGAACCCCTGGAAGAAATCGAATCTCACGGCGACGGATCTAGCTCGGCGGCTGAAACACCGCCGAAGCTAATCAGCAGGTCAATTGCTCGGCTCGTGCAGCACAAGTAGAATTCGGCACTCGCTCTACTTACTTACTGCAGTGGCAACGCCTCCGTCCGGTCGATTTTACTCACGGAGGGGGACAAGCTGGCGTGCTTGCAGCAACCGTACGTACCACCAAAGTTAAAAGCCAGAGAAACTATACCGCGTACGTACAAATGAGCTGTCAAATTTCCAAGATGTACATTGCAACGTGGTGTGCTTGACTATTGTGGCATGCATGGGAGGCGAATGACAAGTATATTTCGTGGGTCGTCGTCGGTAAGGGTGACCACGTACGTACGTACTTCCTCTGTCCAAAAATACTTGTCATCAAAATAAATTAAAGGGAATGTATCTAGATGTATATTAGTTTTAGATACATTTATTTTTATCTATTTTAATGACAAGTATTTTCGGACAGAGGAACGAGGAAGAAAACAGCAAACACGAATGATTGCCAAAAACGTACTACTAATTGTACTCATCATTAATTCATCAAGCGGCATGGGCGCCTAGCCATGGGATCTGTACAGTAGCATGTGCTCATCATCGTCAACGAATTAGTTAAGGTCACATATATACCTGGAATACTCCTTCTGTTATAAAATATAGTGTGCCCGCGTTGTCCGAGGTTTAACTTTGACCATAAATTTAACCAATGAGCTGACTGCGGCGGGAGAAAAAATATTATATAATTGAAAACTTTTTTTGAATACAAATTCACTGGTATAATTTTTGCTCCCGCCGCAATCGCTCTCGTTAGTCAAATTTATGATCAAAGTTGAAGCGCGGAAACCCGAGGACACGCTATGTTTCGAAAAGGAGGGAGTATTAAAGAGAATGATGGGAGTGATTCAATCCATAGATGGGGACTCAGACTTTGTGGGCATGCATAGGTATATAGGACTAGTAGTAGTACGGTGGAAAATTATCATTGATCGTCGATGCACACAATCATACTCCCCTTTTCTAAAAAGCAATTTGCCGGAGAGGTACAAACAGTGACGCAGAGGCCGGCATACTCTCCTTTTCTAAAAAGATAAAATACTGTATAGCGTGGTCTGGACCTATGACTTGTTAAAGTAGATGAAGATATATTAGGAATTTCGACAAAGTTGCATGCGTTGATGAATGATCAATTTTTGTATTGCACAGGAGTATTCTAGTAATAGGGACCCAGCCTGTTTTTGTTCACCTAAACACGATTTATACTAGATAAAAAGGGTCAGCAAACGTTTTGGTTCAGACCGAGGTGGCCAACTGCTGCATTGTCTGAATCTGTGGGACTACATTAATCTAACACATCTTGGTCTTTATATAGAAAAGATTTATTTATTGTTCTCTTGCTCCCCTCGCGTCGTCTCCCCGAGCGAGGCGGCCGGGGGCTCCTCTCCCCTCCTCCAGCACTCCGTCCCCCTAACCCTCTCTCGCCGCCGCCGGCGTGCTTCACCGGGCCCTCCCTGCGTGGCGGCTTCGTGCTTCCTCGCACGCGGCACCCCGGCTGGCGGCGGTGTCCCTCGGTCCATGGCGGTTCCGGCGGTGGCACGCTGCCTCGGGTGGCGCTGCTCCGGGTGGCCAGGAGGCGGTAGCGCGCCCACTTGGCTGCGGGATGGTGGTGGCGCCCTCTCGTCCTAGATCTGGGCCGTTTTGGGCCCCATCTGGGTCTGGGCGGGTCTCACCCTAACTTGCCTGCGACAGCTCCGACAGACGGAGGTGCGGCTTGTGCAGGGGGTTGCGGAGACTGTTGCGCGCCTACTGCAACGCGGCAACATGAGCTTTTCTTGAGCATCTTTCGGGTTCGGCCGGGCCTAGAGGGCCTCGTGTGCTCCTATTGCTGCGTCCGATCGAAGACCACCGATGGCGGTGGAGGTTGTCCCCTCCCACGTGGTTGCTGACTCTGCCGCTTCTCGTTCCCGGTTGTTCCCTCTCGGCTCCGTTGGTCTTGCTTTGTTGACCATGCTGAGGCGACGGTGATGATGGCAAGACCGTGGTGGCGCATGTTGGTGGGTGGCAAGTTTGGTGTAGCGTGACTGGTAGTCCGGCGTTGGAGGTGTTTGGTGGATGGGAGAAATCCCTGTTGGCTTGCCGGCACCTGCGCGATGACGCCCGTGGGCGCCGTCGTTCTTTCCTGAAGAATGTCAGGCATTCCCCTTCCCCACGCCCCTCCGCGTATCAGGGGAAACCCTAGGACCAATCCGAGCAGCAGCGTCGTTGTCGTCACGCTCCTTCCTGAAGGTGTTTCTTGGTATGCAGAGGTTCGAAGTGCTAGGAGCATGGTGGAAATTCTCCGGTGGGCACAACAGTTGCGGGTCATCATCGTTTTCGTTGATCTGACATTGTTGACATTAGTTTCTTCCTTCTTTTGTTTTGTTTTGTTTGGGCGTGCTTGTGTTGTTTGCCCCAGCATTGGACTCATAATTGCATCGGGGGGTTGTTATATCTATATAGCGGGACGAAAGTCTATTTCGAGAGAAAATATTTTTTTTTCTATTTTCACAACTGATCCAGGTAAAATCTACTCCATAGTGGAGTAATATATACTCCCTCTGTTCCTAAATCTAAGCCTTTTTAGAGATTATAATACAGACTACACAAGGAGCAAAATGAGTGGATATACACTCTAAAATACGTCTACTATTATGAATAGTATCAAAAAAGTACTACAAAAATAAAAAAAACTGATTTTTTTGTAGCATACATGGTCGGCATTCTACTCGCGTATAAACTTTCACAAAGAAATGACACCCATGGCATTCTAGGCAAAAATGACAAAATATGTGCTATATTTGAGAACACTGTTTGAAGGACTAGTAAGGCTAGATTGTATTTTTCTTCACTACGGAATACTGAGGTGTCACTCCTTTGCGAAATTTCATACGCGAGTAGAATGGTCGATCAGGTTTGATATCCCAAATTTTCAGATTTCCTTTTTTAGTATTTTTTTCGAATATACTATTCACGTGGGCTCATGTGAAACCATGTACATCTGTGTATTTTTGTCATGTAATGCAGAAAAATGTGTTTGTTCACTCTTAGAACCTAATAAAAATGTAAAATTTTCCATGGATCGCAACGTCCGATCATCGACATTGAACAAAGGCTTAAAAAATCTATTGCCTGAAATGTATAATCTTTTCATCCGAAAATACTTGTCAGAGAAATTGATGTATCTAGATGTATTTTAGTCCTTAGGTACATCAGTTTTTATCCTTGTGTTCGACAAGTATTTCCCAGACGGAAGGAGTATATAGAAAAAAAGAACACACCCTTAGTGCCTCGCTCGACCGGACTGGATCCAATTACTCTGCATATTTTGCACCACATGACGCGCGTTCACATCTTCTATAGATACGATATTATCATGTCTTCTTAGTCATACTACATTTATATACTAGGGCAAAAGCGTGTCTTCGTATCCACTCCGGTTGATCACAACTAATACTCGTGAGCTTAATTAAGTTGCTGGTTGATATATAATCGCGCAGTCGCAGGTGGTGCTGACTGCTGACTGACCGGCCGGTGACCACGGGAAAAAGATCCAGCGGGAACACCCACCCAGCGGGCTTCGTTTAAACGCCGGCCCACTCCCTGCATCCATCCAACTGCTTCTTCTACTTAAGCCGAGCCACCCCACAGCTGCCACACCGGCAGCCACCTCGCTCGTCCCTCCTCCATCTCAGGCTAGCTCTCAACTACCCAAAACCTCGCCGGCCCGGCACAAGCCGAGCCCGCGCATGCATTTCCCACCGACGCGCGCCGCAGCTCGCCGGCACGAAGCTCGACCGTAGCAGGCGCGCACGCAGAGCACTCGGCAGTCGGCACCGATGGGGGCGGCGGCGCCGCTGACGCTGCGGGACTTCCTGGAGATGGCGTGCGAGTCCAGCTGCAGCGACGGCTTCCGCTCCTACCCGCGCCGCCTGCTCCCCTGCCCCGTCCCCTCCTGCGACGACGGCGTGCAGGCCAAGATTAAGGCGGAGACGGCGCCCGTGCGGCTGCTCATCGAGGCCGACCTGCGGCGGAGCCCGTCGCGGACGCTCTCCTCCCTCCTCTTCCCGAGGAGCCCCCGGTCGCTGGCCGCCATCTCGCGCCTCTCCAGGACCCTCTCGCGGCGGCTCGTCTTCTGGAGGCGACACCCCGGCGACGACGGCAGCGAGCGGGACTCCCTCGGCCTCCCGTCGCCCGTCGTCAGCAGCTGCTGCGCGTCCGAGTACGCCGAGTCGGACGCCGAGGCGCCTGGCCCGCCGCCCGTCGACGCGGCGGAGGAGAAGCCCGCCTCGAAGCCGTCGCCGTCGCCGTCGCCGTCGTCCAGCTCGGGCAGCGTCGACGCGGACGACGGCCCCGCCGCCGCCGGTGCCAAGCACAAGGTGAGTCCTCCGGCCCAGTACAGTCCAATAGTCCATTGCTCTGCCTGCGTGTTTGACTAGTTGCCGCTCGCTCGCCATGGGTGGCTTTGGTGGTGCCCGCGCGTTGAATGCCGCTCAATCTTTCGCGATTTGTTTGGTTGGTTGGCGCGTCGTAAATACAGTCGAGTTTGGTGATCGATCGCTGTGGATGCATGAGCGACGCCACTGCATACATGCATGGCTTGGATGGGCACATCATCAAAAATTCGAAAAAAAAACAAATTCGTAAACATCCAGATCACTAGGGAGATAAAACCAAAATTTCTATATCGATCCTGTGTTGTTTAGTGTTACGGACGGTACGAAATTTGACCACTTTTGATTTTTTCCAAACGATTTTCTGCGACGCTGGGAAAAAACAGTGCATGGGCAGCTGCCACGAGTAGAGGTAGAGGTCGTAGGGGAACTCAAGTATAGGGACGGGATGGGCTCTCTGTGGGTTATTGGTGAGCCCAAAATATTCTCTCTTGATTTCGATGTGATGGAGACGACTAGTGAAGTAAGATTGTGCCCGTACCCCTGCGCCCCGCGCGTGCGCCGCTGTCAACTCGAGTCATCAGCCACGGACCGACACTCTGCTGACGGCGTTAACAGCTTCGAACTCGCTGACATACGGGGCCACAACAGTATTTTTTTTTTGAAACGGAGGCAAAAATTTTGTCTCATCGATTAATTAAGCAGAAGAGAGTTCGGGGCCACAACAGTAGTATACTCCCCTCCGGAAAGGTGCTTTGCGACGTGCCTCGCCTCAGAAATGAGGGTGGCTTTTTTACCGTGGCAGACAGCTGGGTGCTTCAGTCTAGATAGACAGCAAAAGCTCTTTAATTCTACTAGGAGAGTAGACAAGTTATTTCTCCCACTCATCAAGTGATGTAGTACGGGCACGTTATGAGTTGAGTGAGTGAATAGGGAGCGGTGCAGTGCTAGCTCTGTGCCTGTGCCTGTGTGCTCCGGCTGTCTGCACGGCGACATCGGTTCAAGTGAGCTCGAGTGGGCTCACTCACGAATTAACACCAGCCAGCTTCTGCCATTGCTGATTCAAGACGGCAGCTAGCAAGGCTAATTAATCGCTCGGGTTTCTTTGGGGTGGTGAGAGAGCAAAGCCATCCACTTCACCGCTCGTGGAAGTCATAAATTTTGGCAGATCAAGTGTACTTTTCCGTAGTACTACTAGTAGTACCGTCTTGCTCAGGTATCGCCCACGGTGGCACCGACGCGTCACGCACGAGCACGTAGGTCTGCTAGCCAGCTGCCCCGAAAACGCCACGACACGGTCTCTCCTCCACAGGCCACAGCCACCACCGCGGTGACCACCGGAATGAATGATCCACCAAGGTTGTCAGCAACAAAAAAGAAGAGTGTATCTACATCCATGTATCTGACATTTGCAACGCGACGCTGCTCTTTTGGTACCAACTCTGTGGTGTGGAGCACGTACGTCGTTCGTTGGAAATACTGTATGTAGAATTGTAGATCGAGGAGAAGGAACCACGGGTTGGATTGGGTTGGTTCTCGGTCGACACTGTGGCCCTTTCGGTTTGGCGTACCCTTTCTGTGCGGTCATTTCAATCGGTTAAAATGACTGAGACGGTAAATTAACCCAGTGTGTGCGTGTATTGCAGGAGCAGCTAACACATGGCGGCGATGCCGTCGGGTCGACGGAGGAGGAGAAGCAGCAGCTGAGCCCCGTCTCCGTCATGGACTTCCCCTTCCTCCACCACCACCACGACGACGACGGCGACGAAACGAGCGACCCCGGCACCTGCTCGCCTGCTACCCCCTTCCAGCACTGCCTCCCCGATGATCCCCAACGTACGCTACGTAAGCCTTCTCTTCTCCCAGATTAATTCATCGGTGCCGTACGTGCTAGCTCAATGTTGGTTAGCGTGCCACGCCCGAGTCGGCACCGTGCTCTGGCAAATTTGACAAATTTGACCTATAGACGAAATCAAATCACAGAATGAACTGTCCACGAAACTATTTCACGCGGTTGACCCGTGGCGCCTAGCTCTCAGGCGCTGCACACTGATTTAGTAATTTTCTGAACACACGGGTGCGACGCTGGCCGTGTAGCGCCTATCTCTGAGGCGTTGCACAGTGTAGTGTGACGCCTTCGTGTCGGGCGTCACACAAAAAGATCAGCCGCGTGAAATAGTTTCACAGATAGTTCATTCTATAATTTGATTTCGTCTATAGGTCAAATTTGTCAAATTTGCCCCGTGCTCTGGACGCCCCTTGCTCGGACACGACACCACGGGCATTAAAGCCGCCTCAGCTGACTCTTCAACCTCCAGATCGGCCCACGGTTCAGAGCTCCATCGAAACCGTTGAGTAGTCCCCATTGGACCGGACCACAGGCAGCCGCGTTGTGAAACGGGAACGGAGAGAGCTCTCCCCGTTTGGCGTGCCGCCCGGTCTCCTTGGCTGGCTAGAGACCTCCCATGAATCCCCATGAATTGACCTTTGCCGCGCATTATATTGCCATGCGTGCTACGACGAGCAGCGGAATCTAGGCCGCCGCATGTGATCGTGACGCTTGTCCAGTCGATCGATCAAGTATACGTACTCAACGCATCGTGTGGAGTAAATAAGTTTTTCGCAACCTGGAGAGCCGTAGTATGAGCAGCACTAGGTCAACCATCAAGAGCCGTTTCATGGATCCATCTAGTGTTATTAACAATTCACAGCCGTTGATTTAATTAACCTCGTCGATGCATGGGACTGACTGCAGGGTCGAACAAGGCGCAGGCGCAGGAGCTGCTGCTGCTGCACAAGATCCGACGGCTCGACGGCCTGGCGCATGCGGTGGGCCCCGTGGATCTCGAGGCGCAGTTCGGCACCGAATCTGATCGCCAGTCTGCGGAATCTGACGACACGCACACCCAGACGAGCAACTCCAGCAGCACCAGCGCCGACCACGGCGTGGCGGCGACGTGGTCACCACGGTGCTGGAGCGGCGCCGATCGTGAAGCAGAGCGCGGACCTGACGTGCCCCGGCGCCTCCTCGCGCGACTCCTCAAAGACGACGACGACGACGGCACGGCAGTTACTTCGGGTGCCACGGAACGGCTGCTCCTTGACTTCTTCGAGGAGGGACTCGACCGGCGCCGTGCGTCGGAGGCAGGGCCGGTGATCGGCGCGTCGAGGCCGTCGGACCACGAGTCGGCGCTGGTGCGTGCGGCACGGGATTGGGTGCAGGGCGCCAGGACGCGGTGGGGCGCGGAGGACGTGTTGTACGCCGGGGAGGCGGCGCTGGCGGACATGGACCGGGGTCGGCGGTGGGTGCGCGCCGGCGAGGAGGAGCGGGAGGTCTGCGCGGCGTTGGAGGGGTTGATGATGGACGCGCTGGTGGCCGAGCTGGTGTGCGACTTGGCACTGGCAGCACGGCGTCGACGTACGCTGTAAAATATGTGCTCCTCGTGCGTGTTCCCGTGTGCCGCTGGCTTGGTCAGGTAGGAAGGGTAGACGGTCTGCACCACGTCGTGTGCACGTTAACTGGAGTGTTAAAACATGACGTGGTTCCACATGGTTGGGTGGTGCGAGCAAATTGATACTACTCCATATCGAGTACTCCCTCCGTTTCAACTCAAACCATGGCAACCACATCCCTCAAAAAAAAAAAAATCCCTCAAAAAAAAAAACAACTCAAACCATGGCACTTATTTTTTGTCGGGGCGAATTGACACCACGCACCGTTATGACACGCCTAAAATCGTATTTTCTCCTTGGCAAGTTATAGAACGTAGTATATGATTTAATCACATTAAACTTAAACTTTAACCAAGTTCATGAAAAGTACTGTATTTCATATTGCGACTACTCGGCATTGTAATATCTTTACGATCGAGACTCTTGGTTGACATGCCTTAATATTGCACATTTTGCAACTTAAAATTCTGATGGGTCGCTTCACCACTTTTGCCTTGGGCACCCTTGAAGGTCATGTTCTTTGGTTAGCTTGCTATTCAAGATAGGATTTGGACCTTCGACAGTTTGACCAAGTGTGGATGGCTGCATTACGGGTTGTTCCATTTTTTTTTCGATCAGCGGGGCCACATGACCCCCATTTTCATTATGAAAATGGAGTCACAACATACAGACCAAGTCCCACACAAACCCTTTGTAAATGTGGAAACGAAACAATGGCACATCTCCTCTACAAGTTCCGCTACACCTTGAGAGTTTGGGGGTGGCAAAGGATTGGGTTCAACTATACATGATACTACACACTCGCACGTGGGTCGCCGAGCGAACAGTCAAGGAGTGGTGGATTGCGATGTCGGATCTCCACATGCCACACCGAAAAGCAATGGCATCAATCACCATGCTCGTCTCTTGGACCATTTGAAACAAAAGGAAGCGAGGGTCTTCCTGCAGAAATCTACCCCACCCTTCATCATTTTTGACATGATCAAGAGCCAAGCAAAGCTTTGGAAAGTTGCTGGAGCGAAACATTTGGGTAAAATCATGACGAGAAATAATCTAAAACATTTGGGTAAATTTAGGGCTAGATTGGTGTGGCAAGAAGATGAACATGAGAGGAAATACCACTGGGTGAATTGGCAGACTTGCTGTTTGCCTAGAGAGGTAGGGGTTTTGGGGATTTTAAACCTAGAAATCATGAACACTGCTCTTTTAACTACATGGCTTTGGAAAATAGAAATGGAAGAAGGGTTATGGCAAAATGTGTTGTTTAGAAAATACATTCTTGATGAATGCACATCTAGAATTAAAAAAAAACCCTAGTGATTCCTAGTTTTGGTCCAGTCTGATGAGTGTGAAAGACCTTTTTTATAGATATGCTAAGAAAAAACTGGGGAATGGAAAAGACACCAGATTTTGGGAAGATATATTGGTAGATGACAAACCTATTAAAGAGGCTTACCCTAGACTTTTTAACCTCTGCTTTAATCATAACATTATTGTTGACGTATAATGTGCTGCCTAGTCTCTTCAATCAGATCGGTCTTTTGGTTGCATTGGCTAGAACATGCACTTCTACATGGTATCGAAGCTAAGAGGTCTTGAGTTCAAGACCCGTCTGGCGCAATTAAATTGTGGCTCTGTTTGGTCTGGAGTCTGATATCTTGCTTTGGCAGCCTCTTCTGGTGTCTAGAGGGCACGGGGAGAGGTGTGCTGTTTCTTTTGAGTCACTGACTTCGACATGTTGGATGCTTGGTTTCTAGTAATGGAAATCGGAAGGGCCTACCCATCTTTTATCAAAAAAAGAAAGAAAAAAAATCATGACCGGAGAGTAGCGGCTTTGTAATTATTGGATGAGGCAAAACTTTTGCCTTTGTTTCAAAAATAAACAATACTGGCAGAAACGATAAAGATTGGCAACAGGCATAATGAATGGTGCAAGCAATTATCCAATATACATCGTTACTATCCCTAGTCGCAAGCTCCGCAACATAATCACACGCACATCGCATGCATAAAAAGGCAATAGATATTCTTGGAAGTTGTTACCACTGCCAATGCCGGCCACGATCACAAACAAGCTGGATACAGCAGCACCGATGGATACGTAAGGTGGGCGGCAAAGGGAAGTGGCCTAGCTAAGCTAGCTACTAGCGCCCTTCTGAATTCGTGGCAGCGCTGTTCGTCAGATGCTCCAATTTCGCATCGCCAGTCAGTATTTCCTTCACGGCTTCCTGAAAACAGAGCGACGTATCAGTGCTATCCACACCCAACCCAGAGCGTCGTTGATACAAGGTCTCACACAAGAATCTAAGATTTTCGTACCTCGATGCATGTCAAAGTATACTGGACGTCACCATCTGAAATTTGGTAGTGTACCGCAAGTCTGACGCTGTAGATTGGGGGAGTTCAAAATGAAGTTATATACGAAGCATAAATATACACAGGCACTGAAAGAAAAAGCTGTAGTTAGAGATCAACACAGGCATAAATGTGCTTATGCCAAGCAGTTGAGCTTTGTACCAGTACTAAAAAAAAAGCAGTTGAGTCAACTGAACTGAACCTCTTGGAGCCTATTGGCGTTGCAAGCACATTGCGCTGTTCCAGGACTTGACACAGTTTGGCAGGTGATATGCGTGCATCCGCCATATCAAAGAACACCTAGGGAATACAGTGGAATGTGGATGCATGAAATTTAATCAGTCAGGAAACATCAACCAAACTCTCTGATTGATGGACTAGCAAGAGTACTAACCAAATTGGTCTCCACTGAAGCTAAATCAACTGTAAAGTGTTCGATTTTCTTCAGCCCGTCTGAACAATTGGACAAGAAAACATATTCAGGGCTGTAACGCACACACGATGGAATACCTATATAAATGGGATAGAAAAGATTAATTAATATGAAACCTGCTAAGACTTTAGCCTTCCTATGATCGTCCGCAAGCTTGCCGACGGTGTCGCGGACTGCAACTTCGGCAGCAGCACAAAGAATTCCTACCTGCCTTATCCCACCACCTAGTGTCTTCCTAAGAATTGTAGCCTGAAAATATTATTTGCCAGATTTTCGTTACATGTTCTCTTGCGCAAGCAGCTCAAACTTACTAGCAGAAATACAGTAATATCCATCATCACCTTGTGTATGAAGGCCTTGGAACCAACAATAACTGATCCAACAGGAGCACCTATCCCTTTCGCTAGGCCTACCTGCACTTCCACGTTTAACAAAGAAATACAGTCACACATCCTATACCAGCGTGGCCCATTGTATACAATCTGCCATTATAGAAGTGCCAAGCAAATCGATACGTACCGAAACCGAATCAGCAGCTCTCACAAGTCTATCAACAGGAACCCCAAGCGCCTGACAGATTAAGATAGCAGTGATGATCTAAAATCGCAGCAGAAGATCGACATGCATACTGTGCTTGGTACTTAGACCATCTGGTTAATTGATCTTATATATACTCCCTCCGTTCGGAATTACTTGTCTCGGAAATGGATGTATCTAGAACTAAAATACATCTAGATACATCCATTTTCGCGACAAGTAATTCCGAACGGAGGGAGTAGTACATAGTACTTACTGCGGAGGCATTGAAAATACGAGCTCCGTCGATATGAAGCTTCAAGCCGTGGGTTTTAGCAACTTCACCAACCTTATCGGTGTATTCTACAGAAAGACACTTCCCGCCGCAACTGCAGCAGCAACAACAACAACAAAAATACTATCAAATCATGTAACATACTCCCTCCGTCCTTTAAAGAGTGTACTTCCAAATTTATTGGAGAGTCAAACTATCACAAAGTTTGACCAAATTTATTCAAAAATATATCAATGTTTGTGAAACCAAATAGGTATATGATGAAAATATTTTTTATCATGAATCTAATGAGACTAATTTGATGGCATAAATGATGATGTATTGTTGTATAAATACGGTCAAACATAAAAATCTTTGACTTTCCAACAAAGTTGGAAGTACACTCTTCAAAGGACGGAGGGAGTAGCACAGTTAGCTAGTAGGAGTACTACTTATTACTCATTTTTTCTTTTCAAAAAGGGGATAGCCCTGGCCTCGAATTCAGAGATGTACACAGCCATTTTATTAAACATTTATTCAAAGTACGTATTATTGAACACTTACGACGAAAATGGAAAGATGAGGGTCGATACTAGTTATTACTCTACCACACTGCGGCACTAGCCTTGTGAATGAGCATGGGACAGAGCAACTCACTTTCCCTGTGTGTTCTCCAAGCAGATGAGCCTGGTGGTGGGATAGTACAGTGACCCATCCGGACTCCTGATGGCGGCAACGATCTTGTCGATGTCCATGGTGCCGTCGGCGTTGTTGGCGACGATCCTGGGGTGGACGCCGCCGAGGGTGGAGATGCCGCCGTGCTCGTAGACGTGGATGTGTGAGTTGTCGCCGAGGATGGCCTCGCTGCCCCTCGTGTCGCAGTGCGCGAGGACGGATATGAGGTTGGCCATGGTGCCCGACGGCACGAACAGCGCGGCCTCCTTGCCCATGATCCGGGCCATCTCCGCCTCGAAGCGGCGCGCGGTCGGGTCCGAGCCCAGGATGTCGTCCTCCACGTCCGCCGCGGCCATGGCGGCGCGCATGGCCTCCGAGGGCTTGGTCACCGTGTCGGAGCGGAGGTCCACCACCTTGGTCGCCATTCTTTCTGCGCAGCGCCGATCGAGACGCGGGTCAGACCGAGAGTGGAGAGCTGTGGCTTCACTGGAGATGCGGCTAGAGGAAGAGGAGAGGGAAAGCTGGACGAGGCGACGTAATAATAACCTTACCTAGAAAGGGTTGGGCCGTTGCTTTCTACGTATAATACTCCTATCTTATCTAGTGATATGAATGAAGCAACAATATACGTACAATCATCTACATCGGTCAACTCAGTTTGCACCAATTAGAACACGCCAAAGCTACCAAGTGGCAGGATGTATATTCAGTTAATTCAGAATGCAAGTTGGTTCCCTGCCTCTCTTATTTGTAGCGCAAAGGCAGTTTATATATGTTTGATGATTCGCTGGTGCTGAGTAGCTTCACTGCTGTCACAGAGAGATTTTTGAGGGTCTGCCAGAGAGAGTTTTTTTTAGTGGTGTCTGTCATAGAGAGCTGGGCGACCTGTCTTTTCATATTATTATTTTTGGATAAAAGAGAGCTTCACTCTCCGATTTCCATTAATAGAAATCACCAAGTCTTACTAGAAAAGGAACAAAAAACTACTGCAAGCACCTCGGAAACTAACTGTTGAGGGCATGGCCAATGGGTAGCCCCAAAGGCGCACTAGTAGAAAAGAGGACTTTGGTCCACCCCGGGTTAGCCCATTAGTCCCGGTTCAGTCTAGAACCGGGACTAATGGGGGCATTAGTCCCGGTTCGTGCGCCCAGGGGCCACGTGGCCCATTTGTCCCGGTTCGTCTGGACCTTTTAGTCCCGGTTGGTGCCACGAACCGGGACTAAAGGGTGCGATGCCCATTAGTCCCGGTTCGTGGCACCAACCGGGACTAAAGGGTTAGACCTTTACTCCCGTTCGTGCCACCAACCGGTACTAATGGGGTTTGAGGCATTAGTACCGGTTCATGGCACGAATCGGTACTAAAGGTCCCATTTTTAAACTCTACCCCCCGGATCGTCTTTTTAGTTTTAAAAAAAATAAAAGAAAATGATGAAAATGTCAAAAAAATAAAAGAAAATAAGTTTCCCATGTGATATGTGGTCTAGTTGTTGGGAAACTAACTGTTGAGGGCATGGCCAATGGGTAGCCCCAAAGGTGATTCTTCATAAGCCAACTAGGCTCGGATGCCACTGTGACAGCAGGACCGCTACTTGCATGTGCCAGGTGAAGCTTGCAGAGGAGACGAGTTCTTCAACAGATAAAGAAGGAAAAAGTAGGGAGGGAGAGGAAAAGAAGAGGAGGAATGAATGAAAAAGATGAACACATGGGGACCAAAGGATGACGGGTGTGAGGCAGCACCACCATAGCCACCATTGGACTGAACGCATGTGAGCAATAGCCTCAATCCTCCCATGCCTATGTGTTTGATGGAGCACCTGTCTTTTTTCCGCCTCCATTGGTCATGCCCTGAGAGGCCAAAACAGTAGCCTGAGATCTAAGACCTGGGCTCAAAAGCAGGTCCCAGTACCAAAAACATAAAATAGTTTTGACCCATACAGAAGAAATCCAGGCATACAACTGCCATTTAACAGGTATCATACATCATTTTTATTTAGATCAAAAGACGGAGGAAGAAAAACACATGCGAGGTTGATGAAGCTTGAAAGTACCCGTAGGGTCGCAGCACTGGAAGGTGATCCGAAAGCGGAAGATAATCACCCTGCCGTGATCCTTCCTGCTCTCAGACGCCACCCGTGTGCTGCTCTGAACACTTCTTCAGCTACTTCGCCGACCTGTCTCACCCCTGCCGCCATCATCTCACTTCTTGCGTGGGTTTTCTGCAAAATATTCCAATCATGTATTTCTTTTTGAGAAACAAATTCACAGATACACAAGGATCATTAACCCTGTTATTCTCAAAGACAACACTATTTCTCAAATTCCAGATTGTCCAACAAATAGCAGATATCCCTATCATAACTAGTCATCTCTCTTCTCTTCCGAATTTCTTGACCCAGGCTCTCATTATAAGATCTAGATCATCTGGGATCTCTGCCAAATTAAAAGCACATTTTAAGACATTCCACAGCAGACGAGCTACAAAACAGGAAAAGAAAAGGTGGTTTATGCTTTCATCATGTCCACAAAATGGGCATTTTTTATCCCCTTTCTACCCCCTGCATAGCAGATTATCTTTTGTGAGAATGATGTTTCTGAGAGCTAGCCACATAAAGACTTTAACTCTACGTGGCATTTTAATTTTCCACATATATAAGTGTAGATATTTAATACCATTTTCTATCAAATGTCTGTAGAAATACCTAACTGTATACACTCCATTTTTCGTCAGTGTACACTTAATCTCATCTTTCTTATCATTCAGAACAGTCGAACTACAAGCTTCTCTAATGTACTCCCAAAGATCTTTCGAGTCCCCCATCAGTGTCCTTCTAAAATGCATGTTATCTATCCCTTTTTCAAAAACTTCACTCATAGTATTTTTTTATCAAAACAAATGTTGTAGAGCCTAGGGAAATTCTTCCTCAGAGGTGCGGACCCAATCCACCAGTCCTCCCAGAAACGAACACTTTTCCCATTGCCCACTATAAATTTGCACAAAGAAACAAAATGTTATCTATGTTTCAAGAGTTCTTTCCAAAACTGGGAGTCCCCCTATTTGGCAGAAATGTTACTAAGGTTTTTATTCCCCTGATATTTACTAACAATAACCTCCTGCCATAGTCCCTCAGTAGTTTATAACTTCCACCACCATTTACATAACAGGGCTTTATTCATATGATTGAGATTCTGAATCCCAAAGCCTCCCATGTCTTTTGGTCTGCAAACCTTAGACCATTTAACTAAATGATATTTTTACCTTTTGTCATTTTCCTGCCACAATAGCCCGGCTCTAAAGAAGTCCATACGCTTATTAACTCCATTTGGTAAACCATAGAATGACATCATAAAATATGGTATGCTTATTGATGAAGATTGTATCAAAATAATTCTACCAGCACTTGCAAGTAATCTACCTTGCCAACTTTCACATTTTCTCTCCATTTTATCCTCAGGAGGTTTCCAATGTTTATTTCTAATACGTTTCTCATCCACAGGTAGACCTAGATATTTCATAGGTAGGGCACCCACAGAGCATGTAATTTTTTTCCGCATATTATTCTTTTTTATTGATGGCATCGCCAAAAAGGAACAACTCACTTTCATGGAAGTTGATCTTCAGACCAGACATTTGTTCAAAAAGGCACAAAATATATTTAAAATTATTGGCACTTTCCAAATCGTCTTGCACTGAGAGTTAGTATCATCTGCATATTGTAACATATTTACCCCATTTGGAACATTTTCATTAAGCACCCCTTTTACTAAACCATTTCTTCTTGCATTATCTAGCATAATGGCCAATGCATCAGCAACAAGGTCAAAATTAAGGAGGGACAGAGAGTCCCCCTATCTCAAACCCTTATGAGTAGGAAAATATTTGCCCAAAGTATCATTCACTTTGATACACACCATCCCCCCCTAATAGTCCCCATTACCTAGTCTATCCATTTGTCAGGGAACCCCTTCATTTTGAATATCTGGAAAAGAAAGGACCATTTTATTTTGTCATATGCTTTTTCAAAATCTATTTTTAGCAAGAGACCACTATGTTTCTTCTTATGTATATTGTTTAAAGCTTCATGAAGATCAAGACTCCCTCCATAATATATCTGCCCTTAATGAAAGCAGTTTGAACAGGCGATATGACTTCACCAACCACTAGGTTTTGCATGTTCATCAGAATTTTTGTGATAATTTTGAAGCTGACATTCAGTAGACATATAGGTCTAAAATTTTGTATTTTGTTGGCTTCTTTCCCCTTAGGAACCAATGTGAAAATCCCATAGTTCAATCTACTAATATCCACTTTTCTTTCTGCAAAATCATATAAGAGGGCTTTAAAATCATCTTTCACCAACTCCGAGTAATGTTGATAAAATTCAACAGTGAATTCTTCAGGCCCAGATGATTTGTTATGTGCCATCTTAAAAACCACATTTTTAATTTCTTCTAAAGCGAATTTATCAATCTGCATTTCACTATACTTTGTAGGTATCTTTTTTGCATTATCTACATTAAGAGATACAAAAGAATCATCAGGTGGACCAAAGAGATTTTTGTAGAAGAGAGTGATATACTCCATCAAGTTTGTATCTCATTCTATCTCCCCTTCATCTTGTTCCAGCCTATTTATTCTATTTCTTCTATGTCTCCCATTAGGTTTGGCATGGAAGAATTTGGTATTACTGTCTCCCTCTAGAATTTCATCCACTTTAGCTCTCTGTTTCCACTTGGCTTCTTCTAGTTGAAGAAGTCTATCAAGTTGAGCTCTCAATTCCATTTGCTCTTTTATATCAGCAGCTGTATGACCATTTTTTTCACAGTGCTTATCAATTATATCCAGTCTTATCATAATATATTTTTTCAACTCTCTATACCGTGCATTCATATTTCTCTTCCAGTCTTTAAGTTTGGGTCTAAGCAACCTAAATTTACCCAGAAGTCTATCTACATTATCACCACTAATGCTTGGATCATTCCAAACATCATGGACAATTTTGTCAATCCCCTCCCTCAAGAACCAAGCATTTTCAAACCTGAAAATAGGATCACTTTTCTGCATGTCCCTAGAGTCCAAGAATAGAGGGGTATGATCAGATTTCTCTCTAGTCACTGCAGGAATCTGAGTTAAAGGGTATGTCTCTTCCCACTCAGTGCTGCATAAGATTCTATCTAATTTTTCAAATGTGGGAATAGGAAAGTTATTCCCCCATGTGAATTATCTTCCATGCATCTCAAGTTCCCTAACCCAACCTACTCCAGGATGGCATTAAACAAGAAACTCCAATGCCCAGGAGAGCCTGGTTTGTTTTTCTCATTAGCATTTCTAATAATATTAAAGTCACCCCCAATCAGTATGGGTTTGATGCTGTATTGAAAAATTCTAGATAGCTCAGCCAGAAAAGCTGCTTTTTTTCCTGGCTGA